GATCCTGCCGCTATGGTTGAAGATGAATACAAGTAAGTATTTTTGATTTAAATTATTTGTTGTTCTAGTAATACAAATATTTTTTATTATTTATTTAAGGAAAGTGAATGATGGTAATTTTGGTTGGAGGGCATTGAGATTATTAGCTAGAAGAAGTCCTCATTTTTTTGTTCATGGAAACAATCCTATTAACAAATTACCAGAATATTTGGAAACTATGATTAAAAAGATTGCTAAAGACCGACCAGTAAGTAAACAACCGTGTTGAGTATACAATCGATTTAACGTGTAACTATTTACAAATATTAATTTATTCATATTAGCTTCAATCAGACGTTAAAATGGAAGCTGATGAAACTCCACCTCCAGAATCAAATGAACATGAGTTTAATGAAGATGTTTTGAAGCAAGAATCAGAACCAGTAGATTGCGAAAATTCCAATGCTAAAACTGGTAAATTAAATTTTGTTACTGTAGAAATGATTGAACAACTTTCAGAAGTTTTAAAAAACAATTGGGAAAAATTAGCTTCAAAACTAGGATATGCTGCAGATGAGGTTTATTAAAAACTATCTTTATCAAATTTTATATTTCAAGTACCTTTTGCTAAATATTGTTATTTTCAGATTGATTTCTTTCGTGGAAAACCTACCCAATATGAGCAATGTAAAACTATGTTGGATATTTGGGTAGATGCTGATGAAGACGCTTCTGTAGAGAATTTAGCGTACATTTTGGAAGGGCTGGATTTTCACGAAGCAGTTGGTTTATTGAAGCCATAAAATAATCTTTCTGATTATTTATTATTCTGAATTTTATATATTTTCCATTTTATAAACAATATGATGTTGAATACACAAATTAATGTCCATTCATATTAATTTGCATTATTATTTAAAGTTTTCCCTTGATATATAGTCAATGAAATTGATAAAAAATTAAATATCTGTTAATGTTATCTGCTGAGTTGTTTTCAGTGATATATCACTATAAAACTATAGTTTTGTAACAATACTTTTCCCCAAATTTAACTAAATTTTTACCGGAGGCGGAGATACCGGCTGGGTAGGGTATTTTACGCTCGCCCTTCTTAAATAATATATAAATGATGATGAAATTAACCCGAGACTCCTCAGGCTGGGTTAGTGCACGAAAAGGACGCCAGGTAATTTTATCCAAAAATTACCAAAACAATACTAATGCCAGGGGCCTCGCCGGACGATCAATTAACGACTTGAAATGACGCGAATGGAAAATGAACCACGAAATAATCAAAGTTAATATCAAAGTAGAGTGAAAAATAAAAATAATAAATAGTTAACTACAAACAGTATCTCAAATTATCTAATTAAATAGGAATTGTAGGAGAAATTCCGGGAATTAATATATATAAAATAAATTATTATTAAATTGGTAAATATAAAAATAAACAAACAATTTATTCAAAGCGATATTACTTAAACTTATTCTATTTTCTAAACAACAGTTTAAATTCTTTATGGAATTCTTGATTAATATATACATAACTTTTTCTTTAGCTTAACTTATAATATTGCGTTCGAGAATAACAATAACCGCAATCAAAACAATAATTATAATAATCGTAACCAAAATCTGATAATATCGAAGACAAGTCGTTCGTGAAAAATAACAAAGATATAATAATAACTAATATCCGACAATGTCAATAATGAGTCACACTTGAGTGATCATAATTACAATACCAAATGATATTAATTATAAATAACGCAAAATAATCAGTATATTAATAATAATTAACAATCCGCAATGTTAACCGCAAATTGCGCTCAAAACAATAATTATAATAATTAACGCCTAATAAAATAATTGCAATAATGAACTATGACGTAATATCTCAATTAAGAATTGCTGGCCGTATCGAGGACCCAACACGCGGCTTTCGAGATAGGTACAAATATTCCCTTCTAATATAACCCTTACTCGCTACGGGATCGACCCGATTAATCGATAGCGAATTTAATTAAACAATAAAAATGAATTATCTAAGCCAGGAGACAGCGGTGTGCGGATAATAAAATGGCTCAACTTGTGAGTACTCACCAGAAAAAGGAAACTCAAACCAAGGCACCAAATCCACACTCCTTACAACAGCAGAGGTCCCACGTGTCTTCCTCACACCGAGCGGGCCACCGCGTGTCTATTCAATCTACGTCACCGTAAAACGTTCAAGGCCTCGTGTTCGACCACGAGGGCCTCTTTAGCCATTTTCCCAAATTTAATAAAACTTTAGCTCGCGATCGATAATACAGGACTTCACCCGTGCGAGTAAAGGCTATGATAATAAAACCAGGTACTATAACTATGATTTACGGCGATACATACAAATAATAATAATGATAATAATGAATTACAAATAATTCATTGTAAATATCTGAAACAAATGTAAAATTAATTCTTAAATTATAAACAATAATATTAAAAATTTCAAGTATAAATAATAATAATAATAATAATAATAGTCATAATAAATTATAAATACATTAATAAATAAATACAAAATAGTAAATTGAGACACACATCGAGTGTGGATCTGTTGCCAAATTTTAAGCGCAGGGAGGGACGCACACAGGGAATAAAAACCCTGTGACAGTTTTATTAAATTACATTTTTATCTATAAATAGATACAGTCGAATTGCGTTATGAGTCCGGCTTGTTTTCTTTGTTTTTTAACCAGACTCGCGTTAATAAGAGAGAGACACAAGGAGGGCTCATAACGCGACTCGACTGTACATACAAATTATTTTAATAATAAATGTTA